AGATCAGACGGAATCGCTAGCTCATTTAGTCTGATAGCACAGGCCATTACATTTCACCAAACTTCTTTGCCCTAGATCAGCCTGTCAAGCAGTCACTTTGCTCCTGGCTCACCCTTCTCTTAGATTAGAATTAGGTTCCTTCTCTCCAAAGAGTCCCTATATTGGTTATCCCCAATTTAACAGTCTCCTTAATTAAATATGAGAGACAGATTCTCGCCTCCAGTTCAGGACACTTCGGGTTGTTCAGGTGGCCCAAACTATCTAACTGAAAATTCCCCCAGCCTAGGACAGCATTCAGCTGGTGTAAAGCTGGCATAGCAAGATGTTATGCCAATCACTCACTGTTACCTATCCTGGCATTAAAGACATGTTGGGGTGGGTAGACAGCATGTACACTCTGCCAATTCTCTGTATTGTCCATTGCGGACCACAGCCAGCCAATGTAAAATAGAGCAGTTTAAGAAGCTGAAATGCTGCTCTAATTTATTCTGGGGTATGGGTTGAAGCTAATCCAGGTTGTGACTCAGAAAACTGTAACCAGCTCCCTGGCATAGAGTGGATCTTGATGTAGGAGATAATCTGATTCAAAGTTTATTGGCACAGCTCGAAAAGTAGAGAAAACAAAAGGTAATTGGAAACATTCATCTAGTTGAATGCTATGAAAGAACAGCTACATGGGTTCAACGCAAAGAAATATAACCTATAAAATGTTGTTAAAACATCTCTCTCTTAGAACAAGGCCTCTCCCTCTATCAAAAAACTGCCTCTTGCAGTCTAAGACTAGGTCTACACTACGGGGGAATAGGGTAGCTGAAGTTGCATATTTTAGGTCGACTTACCTGGCTGTGAGGACGGCGGCGAGTCGACCGCTGCCGCTCTCCCGTCGACTCCGCTTCCGCCTCTCGCTGCGGTGGATTTCCGGAGTCGACGGCAGAGCGATTGGGAATCGATTTTATCGCGTCTACACTAGACGCGATAAATCGATCCCTGATAGATCGATGTGCCCTTAGTGTTGCTTTAATCAAGCTATCTTATATCTGTTTGCTAGACTGATGGGTACACATCCAGGATGTCGCAAGTGTATCACTGCCAAGCATGTAGATGCAGCTCATGGTTGTTGGCAGTTACAGTGTCTATTAACATGCTGTCATTACATCACCCTAGGCCAAACCCAAGCTAATAAATACTGGCTTGAGTCCATTTAATATAATTCCTATATTAGAGGCCCCAGCCTACTACTCCTGTATCAGCCCATAGATACCAAAATACTTTAAACAGCTTTCTTCCTTTTCCAGCACCTATCCCACTTTAAAGCTTTGACCAAACTAATCGAAAAATGCTAAAAACACATTTGTTTTCTTTTAAAAGTTGACAAAATTATTAATTCAGCTGTCTTCTGTTATTTCCATAATTCTTGATGATTTTGTTGCAATGAAAAAACCCCTTCATCAGTTACAATTTGACATAAAAAGTTGGATGTCAAAGCCCTCCAGGGTAGATCGGCAGAGACTCTGGAGGTTTTTCGCCTTCCTCCACAGCATGAGGCAGGGGTCGCCAGCTGGAGGATTTTCTGCTACTTGAAGTCTCTAAACCACTGGATTTGGGGACTTCAACAGCAGAGTCAAGGGAAAGGGGTTGGGACGGCTTTGTGGCCTGCATCATGCGGGAGGTCAGACTAGATGATCATAATGGTCCCTTCTGACCTTAGAGTCTATGAGCTACATGCTGGAAGACAAGGATGGAATACAGTTTTACATTCCATCAGCCACTTTTCAGCTTTCTCTTGTTCTATGCGCGACCTATGATTTTGGGATCCCTCATGCTGGCTCAGAGAAAAGTTCCATCGCTTCTCTGAATTGTTTTCCAAATTTATCTTTGTGTGATTCCAATTTTGTTGTTAATTACAGCAGATTTCCACTGCAACAGCCTCATCAGCCTAATCTGCCAAGTCCCTCCTTTGTTATGTAAAATGTATGCTATGATTGACTAAATCCTCCTATATAATGCTCAGTACAAATTTCAGTATACTGATAATCATTTGATTAAAATAAATCTAGAGACAATTTTTTTGAAAGTTTCACCGAGTGTCATTGGGAAGCTGGGGCATCAATCCTTTCAATATGGTGACTGAAGATTTTTTTTTAAAACTCTCACAATGTTTGCTAGGACTGTGTTAGGTTAACCTTTCTTAACAAGGTTTCAATGGTGAGCTAAACATGTGTGAATATGTGAAGGGTCTTAGGGCTCATCTTTTTCATTCATTTTTTCATTTTTTAATTGTCTCAGCAAGTGACATTAGGCTTCTGTCATAATTTTCTCTGAATGGCATCTTCTTTACAACTTGGACACAATATTTGGTTGTTTTCTTTTCTGTAGAATGAGTTGTATTAAGCAGGAACACATTTTTCCATATGTACATGCTTGTAACCATTATCTGGTCACTTCTCAAATTCAACCCATAATCTTGCATCAAAGTCAATATTAATTCTTTTAGTTCTTCCTTTAACTTCCCCTCTCTTTCTGTACTTGCAACATCTACTAGTAGACCTGTGACTGTAAAGCTGTTTGAAGGAGTCTGTTGTGATGAATTTAAGCAGTAATAGTATGAGGAATCTGCTAATGGTCAATCTTTGACTGCTTTTTCCACGATGGCAGATGTAGGTCAAGAGGATAGGAAGCTAGGAGGAGTGGATCACAAAAGCAGGGAGTCTGGGCTCCTAAGCGGATTGTGATATTGAAGGCAATTGGTAGATATGCATCCGAAGAAGTGGGCTGTAGTCCACGAAAGCTTATGCTCTAATAAATTTGTTAGTCTCTAAGGTGCCACAAGTACTCCTGTTCTTCTTTTAATTGGTAGAGTGTGTACTGGGACCCAGCAAGGTGTTAAGGCCATTGCATCCTTAGCATCTCAGGAACCTACTATGCATGCCCAAGCCAATGTGCACAAGGTCTGGTGTCCCAGAGCCCTGCAGGGACCTATAAAGGGGCAGTATTGACAATGCATATCCAGGGCAAAATGCTCCACTCATTTGTTTAGAGCGTTCATTGTACTTCATTGACAATTACATTGTTAGCATAAAAAAAAAAATCTCAAAACCTTCTTACATTCAAGACTATGCTTTTCAGAGTTTTTTAACAGCATAATCTGTATGATCTTTGCCATTTTGGGGGCGTAACATGATTTAGCATCGTGGCTATGTTGGGATGGGTTAGAACGCAAAACAACTACCTAGTGAATTTAATATTGTGAAGAATGAAGAGTATATAGAAGCATGTTATCAAATGCCCTTCCCACAATGAATTACAAACGTGTAAACATATCTTAAATTTATTCACTGATGTCACTTCTCCAGTGTGGAGAAAACCTGAGGAGAAACAGCAGCAGCCCAAGTCCACTGGAGTCTGTTGCTGCTCCCCAGATTTCGCAATGGATGAAGAGGATCAGAGCAAATCTGCATTTGCACTCCCAGTTACAAAGATGTGTAATGGATCAGCTGCTGCTTAGGGAAGTGAAGGGAAGCATCTAGTGTGTTTCTGAGCAGACAGGGAAAAGAAAAGACCTGCTTCTTTCCAGTGGGATTTAGGGATCAGCAGAAGCAGGCCCTCTGTTTCTCCTCTTCTTTAATTAAAACTACAGAGAAGATGAGTTGCTTATATGAACTTCAGAAGGCAATAAAGTCCAGTCTACCTGGTTCAACTCTGGACTTTAAGAAATCTGCAAACTATGTTCATAAGATGGGTCAGTTCAGCTCCAGACTTCAAAATATCCATACTAGAAATGCAGAGATTCTGAAATCTGTAAATTCCATCAAAATGTACAAGTTACATTAAAACCTTGTGGAGTTCTCACAGGTTCAAATATTCATAGCAAATAATTCCAATATTAATCTCCCATCCTTCAAAGAAGCCTTCAATGGCAATACAAATCTTTGGTGAGGACAGAATAAAATGAATGCCCAGTCCTTCAAGCCCTTATAAACAGGATATTTTTTTATTAACACATATCACATTAAAATAAATGAGACTAGTCATGTAAACAAGGATTATCCATGCCAGCCTGGGTTTGCCAGCTGCAGCTTCACATTTGGAGTTTCTAGGCAAAGTGGTGTTTGAGTTATGACATTTTCAAGAAAGAAAATCAAAGTAAGTTAGGCTTGTCTAACATTAAAATAGTTTTCAAACTCATGTTTCCAAAATGCCTTGTTTGAGTTACCTCATATTTTACTAAATCCATAAATAAATAATCCTTACCGGCAGGAAACCATATGGAACATTTTGGGCAGAAATGAGTGTGTATGAGGAAAATAGAAAGTGGTCACATAGAAATTTATAATGAATAGATAGTTACAAACTATGGAGTCAGTACTGCAGCTCCCTATAATATGAAATTAAACACAGACAATTTATTGACAATATGATAATTATCAGTGATTGGAACTTAAACAAAACCTAGGAAAATCCTTTTTTAAAAATGTCCCAGTTAAGCTGTAACTAAAATTCTACATTTATGTAACAAAGATTTTAAAAAATCTCTTTGGTTGTGGTTTGGAAATCTAATCTAACTTTCAACCATGGCCCACAGACTTCCAGTTTCCCAGTGAAAACTTCATGTACTGACCTATGTACTGTGAACCTACCCATTTCTTATTCTTATGAGCAAGAAGCCTAAACCCGCCCAGGATGCTTCATGTATCCACATATGGGACTACACAGCAACCTACATCAGTCAGGGACACATTTGTCAGTTTACTTTTTGTTTGTTTGTTTTTTTCATAACTGTATCAAGCAGTTCTCTAGTACCTATTTTGCAACAATTGTGGTTTGCATTAACCTCATTTTAGTCAATTTCAGAATCAAATTTCAGGATGCACTATCCACCATTAAAGGAAACTCAATTATACTAGTACAAAACTCCTCTGGAATAAGCTCTAATAACAACCACAAACTGAAAATTATTTTGTTTTACACTGATCAACTTTTTTACATTTTCTTTTAAACAGGAACAAGAAATGCATTGGATCCCGTAAGAAACAGTGAACTGAAGAAACCTTCTTGAATCTCAAGGAGCCTATAATTTCCAAGGAAATCTTGACTGGTTTAAAAACTGTTCAGAACTGCAGTTGGTTTCTGCCTTTAAAATAGTTGCTTAAGATGAATAAATTATGGACCTAACTATATTTAAGACTCTAATCTTAAAGGATCACATTTCCTCAACACATCTATTGAACAAACAATACAAAAGGATGCCACCCAGCACAACAGCGTCACGGGTTGGGGCAATAATTGCAGAATGTAATCACATGTCAGCATGTTTAGTTGACCCTGTTGCTGCAATTTTCAGAGCAGAAAGTCCAAGGAAAATGTTTAGCTCCTCTTTGAGCTGAAATAAAACCGTGCAATTAGTCAGACTGATCTTCGGAGATGCATGTAGGCTGATATGAACATCCAGGTAAATTAAAACTGTTAAAACTGAATGATCTCTGACTTGTGAAAGAACACGTGTCACTTACTCTGAAGAAAAAAATAGGAAAAAGGCTCATAGAAAATTAAATTGCGCCAGGAAAAAAAAATCAAACTCCCCCAAGGTACAGGAAGTGAGATTCTTTATTACTATACATTGATCTGTCAATGCCACTTAAGGAAAGTCTGAGCAATCAAGGTGTAGCAAACACAGTATTGTTACAGATATCTATACAATGTTGAAATTAGTCAAGTTCAAAAGTTCAGCAGTGACTGGCTGCAGGGACAGCTGCCACCACACCCCTTTCTGCTGTCAGCATGTGAGAGGAGTCCAGGCTTGGAAACAAGGCTGAAATTGACCATGTGCCAAGAAGGAGAGTTGAGCAAGAAAAACCCACAGTAACGTTCAACCTTAAACCACAAAGGAAAAAAAGGAAAAAGTGACGGGGGGAGAAGAGGAAGGCGAAGGGGTGGCTAACTGTGCTGCTGAGCTGAGAGAGAGAGTGTGTGTGTGTGGGGGTGGGACGGACATTAGCCAGGTCCAGCCTCTGCTAGAGCCATGGAAAACTCAGTCCTATCCTGTGTCCTTTATCCAGGTGATGGGAATATCAGTGAGGCAAAGACCTGTCCCAAAAGGCTCTGTGGAGAAGCGGAGCAGCAGCTAGGGCCCCCGGCAAAAGCTCTGGGGGAAGCAGAGCGCAGCAACGGCAGCCAGCAGCAGCCTGGCTCCATGGAAGGGAGCGCATCAGCAGGGGAAGAGGAGAGTGGGGGTGGGGAAAGCGCCACGCTCCCTTTGCAAGCCCCCTGCGGTTTCAGCTCCTCCTTGTGCTTCAGCTCGCCTGGGGCGGGGGACAAAGCCCCGCAGCAGGATCCCGGAGCAGCCTCCTCCTGCAGCAGGGTGGTGAAGAGCCAGTGGGAGATTAACAACACGGCGTCCGAGGAGGAGGGGGAGGCGGGAGGAACTGACATTGCCCCGCTGCCGCCTGGCACTTACTGTCCCCAGGCTGGAGCGCAGCCCAGCAGCCCGCAGCAGCCGGTCTCGGAGGAGCCGGACCTGGTGATCGAAGTGTCCGGCCGGCGGATCCGAGCCCACAAGTCGGTGCTGGCGGCCAAAAGCGACTATTTCCGCGCACGCTCGTCCCGGGACATCCTGCGGGTGAAGGGGGTTAGCTACGGGGCACTGCGCCTGCTCATTGACTACGTCTACACGGCCCGCATGGGCGAGGTGCGCCATGACAACCTGGCTGAGGTGGTGAGTGGCGCCCGCGTGCTGCAGATGCCTTGCGCCCTGCACTGCGCAGCTGAGGCCATGCGGGCCCAGCTGCGCCTCGACAACTGCTACCAACTGCTGTGCCTGGCCAAGAAGCAGCGGCTGGCGGAGCTGCGGGAGGCCACCTACCGCTTCATGAGCGACCACTACCTGCAGGTGCTGCGGGAGCCCGCCGTCTACGGGCGCCTGAGTGGCGCGGAGCGGGACCTTATCCTGCAGCGCCGCCTGGAGGCCGGCAAGCGGTGCCTGTTGGTGGCCGAGGTCAGCGATGCCTTCGAGAGGCTGAGCGCGGGCAGCAGGCCGCAGAGCCGGGAGAGCAGCCGGCCACAGAGCCCCTCCTCCGTGGTGTCGCTGGAGGAGAGCAGCTACCTGATCTACTGCTACCAGGAGGCGGCCAAGGAGTGGAGGGTGCTGACCCGCCTGCCTGAGGAGGCCAACGCCAAGGGCTGTGCCATGTGCGTCCTCTACAACTACCTCTTCTTGGCTGGGGGCATCGCGGCGGCACCGGGCGAGCAGCGAGCCCGCCTCTCCGACAAGGTCTTCTGCTACAACCCACTCACCGACACGTGGAGCCAGGTGCGGCCGCTGGGCCAGCCCCGCTCACAGCTCAAGCTGCTGGCCTTGGATGGCTACCTCTACGCTGTGGGGGGCGAATGCCTCTTCACCGTGGAGAGGTATGACCCCCGGGCCGACCGCTGGAGCCCGGTGGCACCACTGCCCAAGGGTGCCTTCGCCGTGGCGCATGAAGCCACCACCTGCAACGGGGAGATCTACGTGTCGGGCGGCTCCCTCTTCTACCGCCTGCTCAAGTACGACCCCCGGCGGGATGAGTGGCAGGAGTGCCCCTACAACAGTAGCCGCCGCCGCTCCGCTGACATGGTGGCCTTCAAGAGCTTCATCTACCGCTTCGACCTGAGCGGGAGCCGCGGCGAGCAGGGCCAGGCCGGCGGGGTCGAGGTCTTCCGCTACAACACCGTGGCCAAGCGCTGGAGCCAGTGCGCCTCCCTGAGGCCCAGCAGCGGCCCCCTGCAGCCCTTCCGCTGCGCCGCCCTGGGCAGCACCATCTACTGTGTCAACCGGGCCGGCACCCTACGCTTTAACCTGGCCCAGAACGGTGAGGTGGAGGCTGATGGGGGGCTGCCAGGCAGCTTCGATGCGGAGCTGCTCAAGGCCCCCTTCGAGGCCAAAGGTGTCCTCCTGCCCTTCGTGCTCACCCTGCCGGAGAAGCCAGACAAAGCTGGGGAGCCAGAGAGCCCCCTGGTGCTCTGAGTGGGCCTGGCGTGAGGGCAGCCAGATCAACTGCGGGAAGGGGCTGCGATTGGTTTCTGCATTGCGCCACCATCAGCTGGTCTGGGGCCCTTCCACCACTGCATGGCAAACATCTAGCCAGGGGCCTACTCCAGCTGGCAGGATTAGAGGGAGCTGGGCCTGCCCCTAGCTCAGCGGCCTGCCCGACAGCCACAGCCCCTGACTAGGGGCATCTTCAGAAGGTATGCATGAATTAGAGGGCTGGGGTGATCTAGGGCTGCTGCTGGTTATAACCACTCTAATCTTTACTTTGCTTCATGCGGGAAGAATTCACTCCTTGGCGCTGGTGAGCAGTCAAGCAAATTAAAGAAAAGCTGCTAAAATAGGATAATCTTTGGGATAATGTGGGCCAGTTCCCAATCTGGAGAAGACCTTTCCTCCTGGAGTTATATAAATCCCTGAAAACAGAAGCTTATAATGGAATATTTAATATTAGTGTTGCTCTTGTATATATACACAAGAGGGTCTGCTTCTTCTGCCATTCATTTTCTTTTCTCTTTTGGATATCAGTTGTGAATACTGCTGGCTACATAAAGGAATTCAGTTTACTTTAAACTCAACAGTGCATATGTTAGAAAAGTGTAAGGAGATCATCTGAATTGCATCCTTTCATTTTTGGTTCAATAGATTCTTTAAGGAAGACATGGCACTGTAGCCCCAAGGATCTGCAACCACAACGAATGATTTAACAGAGACCAGATTTAAAGTTTTTAAGCAACACAAATGCCTGCCACATGTTCATATTTGGAATACAGGGGAAAAGTCAATTTACCATAGCACAGCAGAATTGTGGCTGAAAGAAGTGACAATTTCTGTAAAAGACAATGCTTTACTTTTTTATCAGAAGTTTTAAATTCTAGTAAACAGGAAGCAAAGCTGTTCAGTTCATGGCAGATTGACATGACTGTGGATGCCACTGAGTTTTGGGGGAAACATTTTGTATTTCACTGCTCTTTAATTAACTGCAAATCAATGAAAATGAACCTAAACCAAATGTGAATTCTTTAAAACTGATTGCATTCAGTTTATATATTACATTTTATGTCCAGTAGCCTGTGGTAAGAGACTATTCCAGCATAGAACAAGGCTATCACAGGAGAACAAGAAAAACAAGAGTTTGCTACACAGGCTGATTATATGTATGTACTAGCATAATGTTGAGATTTCCCTATCTTTTAATTGAGAGACTGATTTATTTATTTGAGGTAAATGAGTGTTGTAATTAATAATTCACTTGTCAATTATAGTTCATACTGATACCATATACTTTTGTTTGGATTCTGAATCTTTTGAGAATAATTGTTTATGGAGCAGCATTTAGGGGGGAGAAAAATGATATAATGGGAAGTTGAAGCATACTTTTTATCATGTTATTCAGAAAAAAAATTGTAGACCTTCTGGACAGGCATGCTGTATTAAAAAGCGCACTTGCATTTATTTTATACATTTTATATGTAGACATCCAATAGAAGGATACAGCAAATCTGTTTAGCTTTACAGTAATTAATGAGAAACCATTTTCTTAAAATAGACCCAGTGTTTTTGCTGTTGTTAATTCAGCCTGGAATTGTCACTTGATTATGGAAAAGAATTGTTTATGAGTATTCAGTATTCTAGAAAGACATAGCAACTTCACATCAAAGAACTGCAGTAGAAGAATCCTTATGTTTTATTAAAATATCTTATTTTAGCAGGGTACTAACAGTAGAATTCTTATATCTCATTGCTAGTTCTAAAGAAAGGCAGCAGATTCTACCATGAGACATCATTTTGACAGATAGAAGACACAGAGTTTATCTTTATGGTTTATTTGATGTTTTATACAGTTGATCTGATTAGAATACTATTTAGAAACCAGTGGTGCAATCATGAAGCCTTTAGTCAAATTATCTCCCCAATGAAGTCACTGTAAGTGTTGCCTGAACAAGGACTTTATGACTGGACTATATACATGTTAGCCTAGTCAGCATGCTAGTTGGTTGAATGGGATTTAACACTGCAGTCAGAATTTATGTTGTGCATACAAGTGAAAGTTAGATATTGATCTTTTACTTGCCGATACACTTAACAGATTAGTTAATTCCTCAGCTGGACAAATACAATTTTGCATTTTTCTCCTAATTATATTATTGCCTTCTAAGTATAAGAAGAGTTGTGAGGCTAAAGAAAAAATGATTTGTGTGCATTAGAATTATTTTTCATATAATTGTAGCACAGGTAACGCTTACAGTTCAGAAACTGCAAACACTTCTGCACATGCTTAAAGCTAAGCAGTGTGCAAGTATTGCTGGATCAGAGCCTAAACCAATATAAGGACCAGATGCACATATTGAAATGTCAGTTTTATCTCATAGTACAATTATACAATTGTTTATGTATTTGAATACCTTATCTAGTACAGTATTTATACTACATTTCTAGTGAGGAAGCTAATCAGGTTTGTAATTTTTTTTCCCTTTGAATTTTAATTTGGTGGTATTTTATGAAAATGCTGCCTGATTAGTTTTGGGAAATCACTGTGACCTTAAATTTATAAAGATATTCCACAAACATCTAGCAAAGATTTGAAATGTACCTTTATGATAATTAAGATATTTGTTGCTGTCTATAACTAGAAAACATATTTGCAAATACACTTTACAACAAAGCCAACCAAAAATAAATAAACAAGATTAAATCAAAAGTGCTACAAACACCATGAAGACATTTTCACTATTTCATTCAGACTAGGAATGATAGTATTGGGCCAAAATGTGCTCTCACTATTTACCCTGTGAAAAACAATCTGGTTTTAATTAGTAGTCAGTCAAATAGAATTTTCTTTATACCCTAGTTGCATAATCACAGCCAGATGATTGATTTTTCTGGTAACGTAAAGACATTTCTAGCTGGTTTCCTATTTTCTACCCCATGTTTTCTAAGTAGGTCTCCTGTGACTTTTTCCCCATTATATCTTCAGTACTAAATTAAGTTATGAATGTACCAAGTGAAATGAAGATGCAAGCCTTACTAGCAAAGTTAGCAACAGACGGAGAGCCAAGCAATGACATGAGAAAGAACCTTAATTCCTGCAACACTGTTTATAAAACTCCTGTTTAAACCTTGAAACCAATTCAAAGGAATAATTGTCAAAAGAATATCCCTATTTGCTCAACACAAGAATTGCTAAACAATATGGGAATGATGGTAATCATAGCTGTTTAATGAATAAAACTGTTGTGCAGTAGCTAATGTGAATTCCATGCACAATGAAATCCCTTGTAAATAGCTGATAGAATTTCAACTGCTAAAAGAATAAATTATTCACACAAAAGCTGTACCTCTCCTATGCTGTTTGGTTAGGTATCAAAATGATTGCTCTCAGTACCTTTGGTTATCTATTGTTCATGAGTAGCTTATTGCTTTTCATGCTTTAACAGCATTGATTCCAGTGACTGCTCTGCAGATTCTTTCCATTTTGCAAGCACAGAGCTTAAACTCGGCATTGGGTTGATTTGCTTTGTGTCTCTATAGTGACACCTAGCATTTGTTACTTGAACAAACACCAGAAGTTCTATAGTGAGTTACTTTTTTCTTAGTTTGAGTTTTTCTCAATGACGTTGATTTTGGTACAGTTATAAAAGCATAAGAAAAGAGGAGAAACTCTTACTTATATCATAGCCTAATGGTACCATTAAAGTAACTGTAGTGAGTCATTTAATGAATCTGTCTGTAAGGGATAATATCCTGCCTTTGTTCTGTGCACTGAACTCGCAGTGGATTGAAAGGCCTTTTATGTGTGGTGTGATAGCAGAATGTAGACCTAAGTAATTTCTAAGAAAAGTTCCTTTTAATCTAAGGCTGGGCAGATCCTGCTGGAGGGTGGTGAAGCACTGGAATGGGTTACCTAGGGAGGTGGTGGAATCTCCATCCTTAGAGGTTTTTAAGGTCAGGCTTGACAAAGCCCTGGCTGGGATGATTTAGTTTGGGATTGGTCCTGCTTTGAGCAGGGGGTTGGACTAGATGACCTCCTGAGGTCCCTTCCAACTCTGATATTCTATGATTCTGTGAATACCCAAAGGTAGGAGACTAGGGTAGTATGTACACCTAGAGGGCCAGATTCTGCTCTCAGTTAAATCAGTGTAAATATGGAATAATTCCACTAATTTACACCAGTACAACTGATAACAGCATTTGGCCCACAAACTCTTTGAGTCAAATTCTGCTCTCAGAAATGTCCAATCCCACTGATGTCACACCATTCATTTTGGCCTAAGAAAAGTATTGTAGTAGGAGCCGCTGGAGTAAATTTACCAGAATTAGGAATCAGTATTCTATTTTGTATTTTAGAGGCTCGCTCAGTTTCACAAGTTACCAGCATTTATCCAGCAGATAGGAGAAAATGTGAATTTGTCTCCTGCTCTATTTATTTATTTTTAACTACCATATATTTAGCCAAAGCAAACAAAATAATGGTTGAGGGAGGATAATGGGGGAGCCAAAAGTAGTATTTTAGCCAGTGTGGAATACATGGCCAGTTGTCTTAAAATATTTTAGTAAACACATTTCCCTATTTATATTTTTTCCATAATTGGAGCACATTTCAAACAAATACAGTATTTTTCAGTGAGCTAGTTTATTGCAGCAACCTCATGCTTTGCTCTTAAACGTTAATGTTAGTGGTGAAGAAACCCTAGACAAATTTGTGAAACTATAAAATGACCACATTGATACTGTCATTTATCACAGACTAACTAATGCAAATGCTTCAGACACTGTGCACAATTCAGGTGAATTACATTTGTAACTGATGTATTTATTAACAGTTCAGTTTTAAATATCTAGGCAAAAATCACTGTAAAGCTTTTTATGTACTCTAATTTATGCTGTAATGGAATAAATACATGCAAAAGCTCCCCTTAGGGCTTTGCGGGTAGTCAGTGTCCTTTCTTTATTCTTTATTACATTTCTTTATTTTATATATAGTAATCTATATTGTTTACAATAAGTAAACAGCGTTGTGTACATTCTTAACATACAGCAGGAGATTGACGTTCTAAGTACAGTATAATTGGCACATACATTTTAATGGTATTCATGCTCATTACAAAAGTTTGAAAAAAATGCACTGTGCTTTGAAAACAGGTGCTAGTCCAGCTGAAAGAGCACATTTTCTTTTTGTAATGTGTTTGTACTACAAGGTTGAAATCCACTTTGTTATTAAAAAACCCAATTAATTGACTGCTGTGTAGGTGCAGGGGTGGTAGGGTGGGGAAGTTATATCACCCCCAAACCTGGAGACAAGTTGTGGGTGCTACAGCATGGTTAATTTCTACTTCCTGTTGCTTCTATAAAGAAGCTAAAATACATTAATTAACTGTATCTAAAGTTATAGTTAAGGTTGCCTGAGCATATTCTGATATTATTTAATATGTCAGATTCCTGATAGTTGGCAAATCTAAGGGAGGCATAGGGCCTGATTCTCCACTTACACCAGTTTATTGCCACTCCTTTGACTTCAATTGAGTTACTGCAGATTGGCACAAGTGTGAGCACCATCAAGCCCCTAGTTCAAATTTACTACTCTGTCTCCAGCTGCTGTTTTTCTTGTGAATAAGTTGGAGTCCAGTTCTTTTGAAGTTAAAACACAGACAGACTGAACGAGATCTGAGGGCCAAACTTGTAGGCAAAATTAGATGGATTCAAAGTTGGTGTAAATTTAACTCTTCCCCCTGCTACCCTAATGGGCAGACTATACCAATTTAGACCCTTACGTTTACCTAATTAGGGCCAAATTCTGCTGTCAGTTGCACCAGTATAAATATGGAATAACTCAACTGTCCTCACACACACCTTATCACTGTGCAGTTTGCCTTTTCCCTTGCTCCTTGCATTGAATTTGGCCCACTGTTTGCAAGTGTGTTTCATGTGGTGTAACTCTCTGAGAGGCCAGAAGAGAAGAATGCAGCAAGAAAAGCACTTAACTGGATAGGGTAAGAATATGTAAGGTTCAGTGGACACCTTCCCCTCCTCCCCCACAGTTTAAATGTACACCATTTCCAATCCCCTGAGCATATAAATTCCTAGATTTCCACTCACACATCCTGTGTGGGTTTAAATAAGTCTGTTAGAGCCTAATTAGGTATCAGGCACTATAGTGCTGACATCAAGCCTCATCCTAGGAGATGTGTGCATGTAAATTACATTGAGTTTAGTGAAAATTGTGTTCACCCATCTCCCTGGATGATTAGGCCCATAGGGTAAAATTTCAGCTGTGTCTACAGCAAATTAGTGATGACTGGCTCCAAACATAGTTTGTATCCACAGACAACATGCTTAATTCTCATATGAGAAAAGTAAAAGCACCGAAGCTACCTGTTACAGCACAAAGGCTATATAGATTAGGGTTTCAAAGTCCTCCTTATTTGGGGGTATGTTCTCTGTGGTATCAAGCACAGTATACTTTTTCAGTCCCCCTCAAATGTTTGGCCTCTATGCTTTCACTGCTTGATGTGACCTTGAGTATCTCAAAGGTTTCCTTGTAAATACACCTGTGTGCCTATGTAATACTGACAGACCCTGGTCATTGGTGAGCAGGATCAAACCTGGGACCTCTGAAGCTTAATACATGATCCTCTACTGGATGAGCTAAAAGCCATATGGCCCTTAGTGAAGGCTGTAGAGCAGGGATCGGCAACCTTTGGCCCGCGGCCCGCCAGGGTAAGCACCCAGTTTGTTTACCTGCCACGTCTGCCAGGTCGGCCGATCATGGCTTCCACTGGCTGCGGTTCGCCGCTCCAGGCCAATGGGGGTGGTGGGAAGCGGCGGCCACCACATCCCTCAGCCTGCGCTGCTTCCCGCTGCCTCCATTGCCCTGGAACAGCAAACCGCGGCCAGTGGGAGCCGCGATCAGCCGGACTTGCAGATGCAGCAGTTAAACAAACCATGCCAAAGGTTGATGATCCCTGCTGTAGAGCAGATTCATTAATCTCTAAGTGGTCTTAGTGCCACTGATGGGACAGAGCACCACACCCAGGAGGTGTGTGGGTTACACCTATAGTGTGTGCTTCTTTGTAGTCGCTTCAAGAGAGAGAAACTTTGCTAAGGGCTTGGCTACACTTGCAAGTTACAGCACAATAAAGGAGCCCCGCGCGCCCTAGCTCACTCCCCGTCCACACTGGCAAGGCACGTAGAGCGCTCTGTCTCCATAGCTACAGCACTGCTGGTACTCCACCTCGGTGAGAGGAATAACGTTTGCTGCGCTTTGGCTACAACGCACAGGCGTCAGTATGAACGAGATGTTGGGTTACTGCACTCGGATCGGCTTGCGGAAATGTCCCATAATCCCCTTAAGTCAAGTGGCCACTCTTGTCATTGTTTTGAACTCCTGTAGGAATGCGGAAATGCCCTTTCAAAGCTCTGTTTTTGACAGCCGGCATGCAAGCTATTAGTGTGGAATGCTGTGTGTGAGATAGAGAGGCGGGGGGGGGGGGGAGGAGGGGTCTGCTACTGTCTGAACTTACAAGACAGCATGCTGACATGCTCTCAGCCCCCCCAAAACCCACTCTCTCTCCCCCCACATACAACACACTCCCTGTCACACTCCACCCCCTGCCCCATTTGAAAAGCACATTTCAGTCACTTGCATGCTGGGATAGATGCCCATAATGTACCGCTCCCAGTGCCGCTGCAAGTGCTGCAAATGTGGCCACGCCAGTGTGCAAGCAGCTGTCAGTGTGGACAGACTGCAGCGCTTTCCCTACTGTGTTCTCCGAAGGCAGGTTTAACTCACAGCGCTCTACATCTGCAAGTGTAGCCATGCCCTTAGAACCCAAATAAGAGGATGTTGATCAGCTTCTTGGCTACAAGTGAAGTAAATTATTACTTATTTCTGACTGCTCTGGGCACATGTCAAGCATATAAGAAGACACAATCCTTTCCCCAAGGAGTTTATAATCTAAGGAGAGACAAACAAAAAGCCTAGTGGGTGGGGAGAAAGGGAGCAACACATTATTATTCTTGATTATTTATTTTGTATTGTGATAAGGTCTACAAGGACCCCATTGTGGTAGGCGCTCTATAAGCACAGAAGTAAAAGGTGGTCCCAATGAGTTTACAGTCTAGTTAATCTGTTGTGTTTACAAATGCATATTATAAATAGGACATGACAATTATATCCATATTAGTCTGTAAGCATGACACTGTCAGCTTGCAGGTTTCTTATAGGAATCATCAAACCGGAAGGGACCTCGAGAGGTGTTTGTCTAACCTGCTCTTAAAAGTCTCCAATGATGGAGATTCCACAACTTCCCTAGGCAATTTATTTCAGTGCTTAACTACGCTGACAGGAAGTTTTTCTAACGTCTAATCATGATAGACTAAAAGGTTTGTACAGTCTAGCACATTGTGGATGGCTACCAGAAACAGTTATTAATATTCTTAGCTTTTCAGAGGAGGATGAAGTAGGTGTGGCTCAGAAGTGACACCTGCTTGCCAGTTAGGAGTGGAATTAGAACCTATGGAAGATGCTGAGTTTCAAGTTCATCATGGTGGTTGTGGTGACAAACAGGCCATGGAAAGGAGGGGGGAAATATATATGTATAATATTCTTACATCCACCTTCTCCCCATGCAAAAGTTTGCCCTTAGAGTATGCTAACAGCTACAATTCTGAATGTAGTACCCTAATGGGCTGGCATACCCAGAGATATTTTTAAGATGACGTTTGTCTTTCCCTTTGCAGGTTAGATTATATTTCTGTTTCTGCACAATTCTTCGAGTAGGTCACTGGGAAGGTGAAAGGACTCTGCTGACTCAATAACATCCTTCAATCACCATAAGAATCCAGAGACTTTCCTTTTCTGCCAGGGACTTCCTCTTTCCCTCGCCTGTTGATACTTTTTTTGTTTTGCAGAAAAGAAAGAAAAGGAATATATGCTAACCTACAAACAACAGCAAAACTTTCTAGATGAGATGAAGAAGAGAACTGGTGTATCTTGTCCTCCAGCAGAAGGGTATGCTAAATAAAAACAGGGGTTGTTTACTGTCCTTGCTAGAAAAAAGCATTAAAGGAAATAAAATTGATCATAGTGCAGACTCAGGGCAGTGTCAACTAATGTCTTCTTTGATGATGCTATTTAGTGAACCTATGCTTTTATTCATTAAAAAATGTGGTCACCCAGGGCTTTGCAGCGAGGGGCAAGATAACCACAGGTTGGCTGCAGCGACTATGGAGGAAGCTACTGGGGAGGGGAGGAAGGAAGGAAGAACACATGCTCTCATACTATTCGATTCTTTCCCACACACTTTAGAAAGCATTATCTCACTGTTCAAGAGCTTAGTCTGTAGCAGCAGATTATCTATCTGCTCCGGATTTGATTCCCTTTAGCTTTGCAGCCATTTGCACATTTGAAAAGTAAGTGCAAAATGTGCAAGTGGAAAATTCTGTTCTGGTAGTGTTTTACACCCAATCTGTACAGGTCACAGGTCAATGACTATTCCAGGTACAGGGGTGGATCAGATATCCCACCCAACCCTCTCTCCCTGATAGAGGAAGAAGGGGAATTGTTTGCTTAGAATTAGAGACACTGAATCTCACATTCAAAACCTCCTGAACTTCGGGAGGAGCAGATATGATAATGAATTTCACAGCTGCCTCCTATCTTTGTCATGGACCACACTAAGACTCTAAGTCCAAACAAATCTGAATATTGTTTATGTGAGGTAGTGAAGGAATGGAGAAGGGTGACAGAGAGAGATCCACATTTTTCAGCTTGAGGACAGCTATAGTTACAATGGATGTTTTATCATACAGGCCCATTGAAGTCAGTGGAACTATGCCAATTTACACCAGCTGAGGCTCAGGAGTTTTTGTCTTGTGTTTATTGTCTAAATAATGGTGGCAATTATGCTAGGTCAATAAACAGTACATGAAATA